TGCCCAAAGTGCCTGAGATTGAGGCTTGCCATCCTTTCCTCTAGAGAACATTCTGATGGTACCTCTTCTAAGACAGATTTGCTTATTCTTTGTCGAAAGTTCATGGTACTTTCAATATTCTTCAGCAGTATCATAACTCAAACACATCAATTCTTCATTGGACTTCCTTATTCAGTGTCCAAATGTCATATGAGGCAATTGAAAATACCCTGGCTTGGATGAGGTGCACCTTAGTGCTCAAAGTGACTTCCCTGTTTGTCAGCACTTGAAAGAGTTCTTCTGTTCAGCAGCTGTATCCATTGCAATGTGTCATGTGATCTCTGGACTACTGCTTCCGTGAGCATTGATTGTGGATCCAAGCAAGACAAAATCCTTGACAACTTCAATCTTGTCTCCGTTTATCATGTTGTCACCTATTGGCACAGTGTGAAGATTTTGGTCTTCTTTACAGTGAATTGCAATCCCTACTGAGGGCTGCAATCCTTGATCTTCATTGTCAAGTGCTTCAAGTCCTCCTTGCTTTCAGCAAGCAAGGTCGTGTCATGTGTGCATTGCCAGCTCTTTATAAGATTTCCTCCAGTCCTGATGCCGCAGTTGTCGTATAATCCAGCTTCTCTGATGATTTGCTGAGGATACAGTTTGAATCAGTATGGTGAGAGGCTATAACCCTGATGCACACCTTTCCTGATTTTGATCTGCTCTACCCCTGAGCTACACCCCCTGACCTTGGCCTTTCCTGATTTTAAACCATGTCATAAATCCTTGTTCTGTTTGCACAACTGCTTCTTGATCCGTGTACAAGTTCCACATGAGCACAATGACGTGTTCTGGAATTCCCATTCTTCTCAAGGCTACCCACAGTTTGATATGAGCCACACAGTCAAATGCCTTTACATAGTCAATGAAAGACAAGTGAACATCTTTCTGGCATTCTCTGCTTTCAGCCAGAATCCACGTGGTATCAGTTATGACATCCTTTGTTTCATATCCTCTTCTGAATCTGGCCTGAACCTCTGGCAGCTCCCGGTCATTAAACAACTATTGTTGAATGATCTTTAGAAAACTTTTACAAACATGTGATATGGATGATACTGTTCTACAATTGAATATTCATTTGGGTCACCTTTCTTTGGAATGGTTACAAATATGTATCTTTTCCAGTCAGTTGACCAAGTAACTGTCTTTCAAACTTCCTGGCATAGACAAGAGAGTACTTCACGTGCTTCATTGGTTTGTTGAAGCATTTCATTTGGTAGTTTCTCAAGCCTTGGTTTTGGCTAATGCTTTCAGGACCACTTGAAGTTCTTTCTTCAGTAACTTCGGTTCTTCATTTTATGCTACCACCACTTGTCTGTCAGTTTGTCATACTGTGGTGGCTGTGTGTTGCTGTGATGCTGCAAGCGATGTCACTGGTATTTCAAATGCCAGCAGTGTCACCCAGAGTGAGCCGATTTCAGCAGAGCTTCCATATTAACAACAGACTATGAAGAAGGAGCTGCTAAAAACTGTATGCATAAAGTTGAAACACCATCAGATACTGAAGGCCCCTGAACACACCCTATAGAGTATAGAGTGTATTCCACTTTGGACAACTTCTATTCCAATAAACTACCTTATTTTTCCTCATGACATTTAACTACCAACTTTCTTTTTCTATATACTCTATATATTTAATTTTAAATGTTTACATACTTGTTTATGAGGTCAGGGATTTGGTTCTTCTTAGCATGTCCTCTGGGCCAACATCAGGGTCAACATGTCATCCACACTCAGTGAGTCTTTGTTGGATGAATAGCCTCCCTGGACGATAATCTGCTAAGCCCATGCTCCTCAAATGAAGGCCTTAAACAATAAGACTGCAAATTAATGTTGCTGTCTTTTATTGTTTTAATTATGCATAAAGATAATTAGGGACATATTCCTATCACAGTTAAATAGTTTTCAAATAATGTAAAGCTAAACCCAAACTTAACCTAGATGGCCTACAGACAGTGTGCTGAGGTTGAGGGGGACTTTCCAGACCGGTAATTCATGCAAGGAGATTCGTACCATTTTCCCATAGAGAAATCTGCTTGGCTGCCCATTGGCTGCTTTTTAAACCAGAAACCCAGGCCTTCGCTCCTGAAGTCCAAGCCTTCTTCCCCATACTTTTTGTTGTTGCTGATAATGAAATTTATTTTTTTTAATTTTATTTTTTTAATAGTTTTATTAGGGACTCATACAACTCTTATCACAATCCATACATACATCAGTTGTGTAAAGCACATTTGTACATTCATTGCCCTCATCATTCTCAAAACATTTGCTCTCCACTTAAGCCCCCGGCATTAGGTCCTCTTTTTCCCCCTCCCTCCCTGCTCCCCCCTCCCTCGTGAGCCCTTTATAATTTATAAATTATTATTTTGCTATATCTTGCCCTGTCCAATGTCTCCCTTCACCCACTTTTCTGTTGTCCGTCCCCCAGGGAGGAGGTTGTATGAAGATCCTTGTAATCGGTTCCCCCTTTCCAACCCACTCTCCCTCTATCCTCCCAGTATCGCCACTCACACCACTGGTCCTGAAGGGATCTTCCACCCTGGATTCCCTGTGTTTCCAGTTCCTTTCTATACCACTGTATACCCTCTGGTCTAGCCAAACTTATTTATTTCTTACTATTTCTCCACAAGTAATTGTAGCTCAGTTAAAGAAACTACTTTGTGATTTAATTTTTTATTTTCTAACTCTGTGCCATTTTCTCACACTACATGGGAATACCCAAAAAAAACATGTAAAAATGCTCCCCAGAGTTTTCATATATGCATTTTTTCCTGATAGGTGAGCACTGAGCAACTTACTCTGAGTTAGCGCACCCGGTAGCTCCTCCTGGAAAGGTTCTCTCTGGTCACAGAGAATTTTTTTATAAAAGCAATTTCTTTCTAACCTCATATTTTGTGATGGCTGATTTAAGAGAACATCATGCGGCTGTGAAATTTTATTTTCTTCTCGGGAAAAGTGCCGCAGAAAGTGGTGTGACGTTGAACACAGCTTACAAGGACAGTGACAAAAACTCAAGTATATGAGTGGTTTTCTCTTTCAAAAGGTGAAATGTCGATTGATGACAAACCTTGTTCTGGATGTCAGTCAACTTCCCAAACAGATAAAAATGTTCACAAAACCCATGTGCTTGCGCTCGAAGACTGACGGCAGACCGCTGAAGAAGTGGAGGAGTTATATGGACATCTTGGAGCTCAGTTCAGTGAACCTTAATGGAAGATTTAGGGATGAGAGGGGTCTCTGTGAGATGTGTGCCTTGGGTTCTGACCGACCAGGGAAAAGAGCATCAAGTGGAAACGGCGGTGCTTTGCAAGAACAGCTCTGAAGCAGCCCAGACTTTTCCAAGGTCTTACAGGTGATGAGACACGGTGCTATTCTTATGCCCCCGAAAGCAAACATCAATCAAGCCATCCATCAAAAAGACGCCATCATCACCTCACCCAAAAAAACTCATCAAGTGACTTCAGTGATCAAGATGATGCTTCTTTGGGTTTTGGTTTTTGGTTTTTAATGTGAGGGGATAGTACATTGGGAGTTCGTTCCACCAGGTCAGACCATTAATCAAGCTTTCTATTTAGAGGTTCTGAAAAGATTGTGTAACAGTGTGCAACCAAAAAGGTCTGATTTGTAGCAGAGAGAGGACTGGCTTTGCCACCACGGCAATGAACCTGCTCACAGAGCCAACTCATCGCACCAGTTTGGGGCAAAAAAAAACTAGCATGCCTCTCTTACCCCGCACACCACACTCACCTGACCTTGCTCTGTGCTACTTCTTTTTGTTTCTTTGAATGGAGAGGGACATGAAAGGATGGCCATTTGACTTCGAAGAATAGGGGAAGAAAAAAGAAATGAGGGAGGTGCTGTCAGCCATCTAAACAGATGAGTTTAAAAATATTTTCCAAGAATGGAATAGCAGATTTGACAAATGTCTAAAGTATAATGGAGAATACTTTGAAGGTGATGAGATTGGTTTGTAAAAAAAATTTAAATACTTTGGAAAAAAATTCCTGTTGTTTGGGGGATACCCTCTCATATCTATTTGAGTACTATTTAGAAAAAGTAATTGTGAAAGCCGTATCTCCAACTGTTGAAAGATTACAGATGGATATGTCAAAATGATATTTCCATTCCTATTATATATAAATGAGGTCAGTCTCATTCTTTTGAATCCCTTTAACCTTTGATATTTCTTATCTCTCACTAATTTATAATCATTTGAATAATTTTCCTTAATTTTCATAAGCATCATAATGGAGCAACGATGTTATAATTTCATATCCACATAACACTAACTTTATACTGCTTCCACTACAGAATTAAGTTGAGCCCTGTGAGAAAGAATACAATCGTCTGAGAGAAGTTTACCTTGAGCCAGAGGGACATAAACTAGCATTTTTTTTAGAGAATGACTATAATTACTTAATGGATGTTAGTAGGGAAATTGGTTAAGAATTTCAGATTTTACATAAATATCACCAATATCTTTTAACTCCCTTTTCTGCGCCACAACCATTGCCAAATAATTAATGTCAAGGGGAGCATAGCAGGTACTATGTAATCAGAATTCATGTTCCAAAAATATAATTTTTAAGCAGACTGTGTGGGTAAGTAAGACAGCCTTTTTAAAGGTGTATTATTATTATTTTTAGGAAAAATCTTGGTTGTCTTTGGAGTAAAGTATAAGGTGGACAAAGGCCTGGATAACAAAATGTTGTGTTAACCAACTCAACGATGAGATCATCTCAATTTTTGTGGTCATCTGATTTACTATGTGACAGTAAATCTTGAAAACCCTGCCTGAATCTCTCATGCAAGTGGGTTCAACTACATATCCATCTGCAATCTCTCTGTGGTCAGGCCTAACAGCACATAACAAAACAGGCACCAGGTCTTCATTTTCAAATACACATAACAGTACCCAAAATTTTTTTTGTATTGAATCAACAAGATATTTTCCTCACCTCTAGGGACCAAGAGGACCTGATGGTCTCCTAGGGGAACAAGGGATACAAGGTGTTAAGGTAATCATTGGTTTTATCATTGCATTTATAATTATTTTTTTATTGTACCCATTTGTACTACCTGTTTTAAAAATGTTTCCTTACAAAAATATTGCTCTAAATTCTTTCCTAGTCCAGATATGAAACCTATGTAGTTTTCTTAACTACATTTATGAACCTTTATTTTCAATATTAAACCATATACATAGTGCTTTATTTTTTTATATGTGAGTGTGTGTTATCACATAGGAGACCATCATTCACATTCTTTCTAACTCACCTGACTTTGATACTTTGTTAGGGTGAAAAGGGAGATCAAGGAAAAAGGGGGCCTCATGGTCTTACTGTAAGTAAAAAACCACTTCACATTTTGTATAAGCGTTTAAATTCTCCACTGTTTATTTTGTTGTGTGATTCATATTTTGGAAGAAGGCTACTTGACCTGTATTTTTTCCCGTGTAGGGTAAAGCTGGAAATCCTGGGGAGAGAGGAGCTCAAGGGAAACCTGTAAGTAATGAAAAAGAATCAGGTTGAACGATTTTTATTTGCTTTATCTCCTGGCACAACTATTGTTTTGTATTCAATATGCTGGACTAAGACCATACAAGTTTTTCTTTTCTTCTGTCACCATAGTCATGCTTTATTTGGGCAAATTGATTACTCATTTTTCCCATTCTCTGGCTATCTGTCTATAAACTAGTGGGGATAATTGTAATTTTTACTCCCCCCTAAAACCAAACAACAACAAACTCTTCCACCGAGTCAATGCCAACTCATAGCAACCCTATTGGACAGGGTAGAACTGCACTTGTGAGTTTCTGAGACTGGAACTTGTTACAAGAGTAGAAAGCCTGGTCTTTCCCACAGACTGCTGGTGGTTTCAAACTGCTGACCTTCCATTTAGCAGCGCAATCTGTAACCATTATGCCATCCAGGTTCCAATACTTACCCCTAGTTTTGAGAGTTCAGTTTTCTATAAAATCTATTTCAAAATAAAATGACATTTCATCATATAAATATAAAATAATAGGGCATTAATAAAGCTAATACAACAAGAAACACTTTGGAGGCTTCTTACGTAGTTTCTTTTCATTTCAACTTGAATGGTTTTTAGGCCCTCAGAATGTGCAGCAGTGTGTGTGACTTGCTTATCCATGGCGCTGCTCTAAAAGTTTTTAGTGGTATATAAAGATAAGTATTTTCTTATCATCAAAAATCTTTGCCAGAGTTATAGTTTTTTTTCTTACAGGAAAAGTAACAAGTTCTGTGGTTGTCATCAGAACTGAAGGGAAAAAAATGTTTGTTATAAAAGGTCACAAGCTGTTCACCTTCCCCACATGCATGCTAAAGTCAAAATGGATGCATAAGCAAACATGATGAAGAAAGCTGATGGTGCCAGACTATTAGAGATATAGCATCTGGGGTCTTAAAGGCTTGAAGTTAAACAAGCAACCATCTATCAGGAAGCAGCAAAGCCCACATGGAAGAAGCACACCAGCCCGTGTGATGACAAGGTGTACACAGGAGCAGATATCAGGCATCAGAAGACCCAAAACAAACAATCATATCAATGCAAACAAGGGAGGTCAGAGTGGAGACCCAAAGCCCATCTGTAGACAATTGGACATCCCTTCAGAGAAGGGTCACAAGGAAGGGACAAGCCAGCCAGGGTGTAGCATAGCACCAACAAAACACTCAATATTCCTCTAGTTCTTTAATGTCTCCTCCCCACAACCCCTTAATGACCTCAGTTCTACCTTACAAATCCAGCTAGAACAGAGCATGTAATTGGTACAGATAAGAACTCTTAACACAGAGAATCCAGGACAGAGAAACCCCTCAGGTACAATAATGGGAGTAGTGATCCCTGAGAGGAGAGGGAAGGTGGAAGGGAGAAGGGGAAGAAAGGGAGAACCAGTCACAAGGATTGACATGTAACACCCCTCCCCCAGGGTGACCAACAACAGAAATGTGGGTGAAGGGAGACAGCAGATAGTGTAAAATATGAACATAATAATGATTTATAATTTAATAAGGGGTCACAAGGGTGGGAGGGTGGGGAAGGAGGGAAAAAGAGGAGCTGATACCAAGGGCTCAAGGAAAAAGAAAATGATTGGAAAATGATGGTGGTAACATATATACAAATATGCTTGATACAATTGATGTATGGATTGTTATAAGAGCTGTAAGAGACCCCAATAAAATTATTTATGTAAAAAATCACAAGCACAAATATGAAAGCACATATACTTATATAAAATATTGAATTATTTTATCTTATGAACAAATATGATGAAATGTTCGAGTGCTTACATGCATTCACTCAGCATCATGATATTTAATGATGATCTTTTTATTAACTTAAATTTATATTCACAAATGGGCTTCAAAAAGTTTATGGGAACATTCCATTCTCTTTTTAATCTATTTCTTCATGAACTTTTTGAAGCTTCCTTGTATATCTAGATAGAGAGAGAGAGATGTGAGAGAAGTCCAAAAGAATTGCTATTAGGACTCCACAGAGCATATTTGGATGATAATAACACATTAAGAAAATTGAAAGCTTCGTTGTTGAGAAAAAGGCTGGAGAAGTTGTGCTGAAGAATTGTTTTCCAAAATCTAGGAAGCAAAGCTGTGGATAGAGGTATAAAAACAGATGTGTGCATATGTAAATATACAAATTCATAAAAATAGAGGTATCACTATGTACATATATTTACATGGCAATACATTGAGGAAGTGGATGGACTGTGGGCCTCTGCTTAAGCCCTCCTTCAACTGAAGAACACTTTGTTCTAACAACCTGGCATTCCGTGATGCTCAGCTTCCCGATACGATCACTGAAGACAAATGGATGCATAAGCAAATATAGTGTAAAAAGCTGATGGTGCCCGGCTTTCAAAAGATATAGTGTCTGGGTTCTTAAAGACTTGGAGTTAAACAAGCAGCCATCTAGCAGGGAAGCAACAAGCCCACATGGAAAAAGCACACCAGCTTGTGCGATCATGAGGTGTCAATGGGATCAGGTAACAGGCATTAGAAGACCCAAAACAAAACAAAAAAACTTATAGGAGAGACCAAGGTGTCAGAGCAGAGACCCCAAACCCATCTGTAGACAATAGGACATCCCCTCACAGAAGGGTTACAAGGAAGGGATGAGTCAACCAGGGCACAGTATAGCATGAGGAAACACACAATATTCCTCTGGTTCTTTGAGGCTTCCTCACCCTGCACCATCATCACCCCAGTCCTGCCTTTCACTTCAGGCTAGCCCGGAGCATGTACACTGGTACAGATAAGAGCTCATGACACAGGGAATCCAGGTCAGATAAACCCCTCAGGAACAGAAAGGGGAATAATGAGACCAGGAGTGTCACGAACAGCGCGATCAATAATTACTTGATGCTCTTTGACATTGTCGAATGCTCAGTCTATTTACTGAAAACACACATCTAACAATCTTGAAACTAACTTAAATTATTACGAGGGGGTAACGCACAATTAATTCAGCATCATAGTCCCATTAAGCATCCCCTTCATTGGTGTACTCACCCCGATAGAGTTGGAGAGAGCAGGAGTTGATGTCTCCTTGGTTCCTAGCGCTCTGAATTCTCAGCCTCTCTACCAGGGCTGATATAGGCAGTTCAGCTGATTGATCGTTTGACGTCGTTCTGGGTCTTATCAGGGTCCCCCAGACTTTCTGGGGTGGTTCCTAGTCCACTTGTTTGCTTCTTTGCTGTGATTCAGCATTTCTGAAAGTCCTGGTAGGACTTACCTTTTCTTTCAAGGCGGAGTTGTTCATGTTCATCATCCATCGTCTTCATGCAAGGCAGCTCTTTACTGCTCTCATCAGGGAGGAAGGGGAACCGATCACAATGATTGATGCACAACACACCGCGCTCCCAGGTGGACGAACAACAGAAACATGGGTACATTTTAAAAATAATTAATTATTTAATTTTAATTAAAAACAAAAAGGAATTGTTTTCTTCCAGGGTAGCAAGGGCTGTCCTATGAGCCTTTCACTGGGAAACGCTCCCCATCCACCTGTCAGTTTATGGTCTCACCCCTTCAGACTTCTTTTTTGTTCCCAAACACAAAGAACATTTCACAGGAGCACAAAACTGCTGTTTTTACATAGCACAAAGTGAAGAGCACAGAATTCTTCAGGAGAGGCTTAGAGAGATGGAAACACAGCCTTTAAAAGTGTACGGACCTAGATGGAAGATACGTTGAAAGACAGGAGCTTCTCGTCGTTGTACTGCTTATTCAGGTTCCTCGTATTTTGCAACAATATTTTTTGATTCATCCTTATGT